AAGGAGACAACCAAGGAAACAAACAGAAAACCCACAGAATGGGAGAAAATCTTCACCAGTGACACATCTGATAGAGGTTTAATTACCAGAATATATAACGAACTTAAAAAACAGAGAACCAAGACAAGAAGCAACCCAATTGAAAGATGGGCTAAGGAGCTGAACAGAAAGTTTTCAAAAGAAGAAGTAAAGATGGCTATGAAACATCTTCAAAGATGTTCAACATCACTAATAATCAGGGAAATGCAAATTAAAACCACTTTAAGATTTCACCGTAGCCCAGTCATACTGGCTAAGATCAAGAAAACCAATGATACCAAATGTTGGAGGGGATGTGGGGAAAGGGGAAGACTCATCCACTGCTGGCGGGGCTGCGAACTGGTTCAACCCCTATGGAAAGCAGTGCGGAGAAGTCTTCAAAAACTACAAATGAACCTACCATTTGACCCAGTTGTACCACTCCTTGGCATATACCCAAAGAACTTATCCTATTGCAGAGACACTTGTACATCCATGTTTGTTGCTGCTCTTTTCACAATAGCTAAGAGAAAGAAGCAACCTAAGTGCCCTCAAGTGACCGAGTGGATAACGAAAATGTGGTTCATTTATACAATGGAGTTTTACTCGGCAGTAAAGAAAGATGAAATCATGAAATGTGCAGGTAAATGGATGGAACTAAAAACTGTTATACTAAGTGAAGTAACACAGACTCAGAAAAAAAAATCGACATATGTTCTCCCTCATATGTGGATCTTAATATTTATTTTTAAAACTTTTATTCTTTGAGAATTTCATGCATGTGTTCAATGAAATATGGTGATGACCTTCAACTTTAACTTCTCCTGTCTTGACCTCTCTAGTGCTGAGAATATAGGCACGTCCAGTTTATGCGGTGCTGGGGATAGAACCCAGGATTTCTTGCATGATAGGCAAGTACTCTATCAACTCAGCTACATCCCTAGCCCTCATGAACTTTTCTATATGAATACAGTCAGCTTTAATCAAAGGTTTTGGTTTTCTGTCTGGTTTTCAGAACAGGACAGGATAGTCTGTCAGCAAACAACAGGCTATTCTGTCAGCAAACATCATGAGGTGGTCCCATTTTAAGTATGTGGAGTGAAGCAGATACATACACTTCGCTCAGCAAGGCATGGTCACTGGTGTTGGTAGAGAAGTGTTGCTCGAGAATTGCCACGGTGCCTGCGAGAGCCACATGCCCACAGCCGCAGAACAATGCGACTCCAGAGAAGCACAGGATGGTGGCGACCAGGGAGGCATAGGGGACTCCTCCCAGACACTTGATGCAGCATTCGAAGCAACCTAGACCAAAGGAGACAAAAGGCAGTCATGATGGTGGGAATGCCTCTGGTTTTCATGAACACCACCATTAGCACCAGTTTCTGCTTGCCTTTCCCTTCTCAGCTCTATGACTAATATGTCAATGTTCCAACACACCAGGGGATAGTTCTCAAGGTTTCATAATTCATTGAGTGAGGACTCTGATACTCCAAAAGGGAATATAACTGACTTTTCTGGGAGTCTGGAAAGGTAGTGAGTGACAGCTATCAACTGACAGTTAAGAGATGTAACATAATCCGAGAGCTTCCTGACTGTGAGGCAGAGGGCCATCTGCCCAAGTGACAATGAGGGACTTTCATTCTGTTGACAGAGGCAAAGGAAAAGACTGCAGAGCCAAGCCGTGGTGGCTCCATGAAGAGAAGCCACAGTCAAGTTTTCTCCAAACCCAGCGTTCTGGGGTTTCACGTATGTCTACTGCTGTAGCAGCCAATGTCTTTCCCCAAACCCTTGATCTCTGTGAGACTGGAAGAATTTAGTATGGTAAGAATATGTTGCCAGGTTTGGAAAAATATCAAGGGGATCATTTTGGAAAGGTCATAGGGACTTGGGCCCATTAGGGAGTGGAGTATCAAGTTACCAGGATCCACCCAAGTTGAGAACAGAAATAATCTCAGCTGTTTAATAAAATTTCTCTCTGCTCCTCACCCTGGGCAGCACAAGCAATTCATTCAGTCCTCCTCGTCCTCGTCCTCGTCCTCGTCCTTCTCCTCCTCTTCCTCCCCGCACCCCCAAGCTTCCATCTACCCCTTCCTCACCACACATAGAGTCAGAACCCAGACCCAACAAGTGATACTTAGGTAGTTGAAGGGGGAAAAGGAACAGAGAGGGTTAAAATAAAAGAACAAAATGAGACTCCATGAAGTGAAATGAAGGAGACAGAGCCATACTTTACACTTGATCTTGAGAAGATGAGACTTTTTTCTACTTTTTAAAGAAGCTTTTCCTTGAAATGTCCATAAAGGCCTGCCTGACCTCCACAGCCAGGACATTTTTCAGTTTAGAGACTTTATCTTCAGTTATCGCAGTTCTGGCCTCGGGATAATGTCTGTAGTGCTCCTGACCTCCCATCCATGTTTATATTATCCAGACCGTTCTGTAAATGGCTTGTCGGGGAAATCGAACTTTAAATGCATTAAGATGTTTAACAGCAATCAAAAGCAATTCATTACCTCAGGGCAAGCACACGAAGCCAGTTAAATTTCTTTCCCTCAAATGGTCTTCATAGGATTCAGGGATTGCAAACCCAGCAGAATACATCAGGAAGAACTTCAATCACAGAAAGTGACTGTGGACCCGCTTTCCCCAATTGTTCTTTAGCTCATTGGAAAATGCAAAATGTCAGGGTTTCCTGAGAAACTTGTGTTTCCTTCTACTTCAAAAGATGACCAGCTGTGTTCAGGAAGAGCAAACTCACTGAAGCAAATGTGTGAAACCTCATAAAATGGGACCGAGTGCACGAGATGGTTCCAAGTGATTATTAGCAAGTGAATACCTTGAGAAGCTCTGGACGCTTGAGATTTGTGAACTTGTAAGTTGGAGCTCAGGCTTTGTCACATGGCATTCTATCCAAGTTCCCAAACCAAGAGAAACCAACATCCTGGCCTTGATATGTACCATGAGCTGAAGAGAAAATAGACCAGTGTGTGTTGTGATATTCACAACCTCCTCGTACTCAGTCTCTGTGATAATATTAAGAACAAAATGGATGCTTACAGTTGTACCTGATCTTTATTGAACAGAGTTGTGTGGCTCTGGGACTGTGCTGTCCATTGAAATAGTCACCAGCGCATGTGGCTACTGAAATTTAAGTTCCTTAAAATTAAGTAAAAGGAGACATTCATATCTTCAGTAGCAATGGCCACATTTTGCAGGTGTCATAATCACTCCCTCTAATGGCTGTCATAATGGACGATGCAGGTAAACGTTTCATTATCACAGAATGATGATTTGGAAGATACATTCACATGTATTACTTGTCAGTACAATGACCAGATTTCCAAGTGAAATCAATGAAATGACCCTGGATTTCATTCATTCACTATCTTTGAAGACCTACTGGGTAGGTGTCAAGCTTTGTGCTTATCAGCAGAAATATACATCTGAAATAAGACCTTCAAGATCTATATAATGCTTCAGCAGATGAGGAACCTACTTGCTCAGCCTTGTCCAACCTTTGGACATTGCAACATGGTGTTGTCATCTGCAAAGCCCCTACTCAACAGCACAATCAAGCTGCAAAACAAATTTCACAAAAACTCTCATTGTGCTTTAAGTAAGTTTATGATTTTGTGTTGGGGCCACATTCAGACCTGCCATATGGTGCATATGGGCCTGTGGGACATGGGTTAGACACACCTGGTAGCTTTATGAGGGCGAGGATACAGACTGGCAGAGAGCCAGTGGAGGAAGGGAGAGAAGAGGGAGAGAAGGAAGGACAGAAGGGAATGTAATTAATACTGAGGATGGGGCAGGAAGGCTTTGTACAGAAAGGTATAGTATGCTTTTAAACAAGTAACTGACATGATGACAGTGATGTATAATCTGATAAAGTGCTTATTTAGTTCAAGATATTTTTGGTGCATATGTATTTTTAATAACCTAAATCATTTTTCAGCATTTGGAGTTAGGGTTAAGTGTTACGGTGTAGCACATTTGCCCCTGAACAGTAGAACTCATCTTTCCAAATCCACAGTAGCTATTTCAAAAGACTCTTTCATCCAGACGGTTAGAGTATTCTGCTTTTTTCAAAGGAACTATCACAGCTGCTCCCGGGCTCAAAAAGACAAGTAGGGTTAGAAGAATGATGCTGTCCAGCTCCAAAGTCAACACTAGATCAAGGCTAAACTTTCTCTCCAATTTATCTCTCTCACAGACTCCATATACCTCATGCTGTGGATCTAGTCTGGTAACAGCAGGGGAAATCAGGCATTCAAGGACTTGGGATATCACAATCATGTCAGTGAATCACATTCTTGACCAATCAGTGCTAGTACAATTCTGCAGATGGCTTCATTTGTGACTGGGAAGCATGAGTCTTTCAGAAGTGAAATCACCATACTCGTCATATTTGTTCCACACAGAGAGATAAAACTCTTACAGACCCTGCCAGACAATATGACTAGGAGTTTGTGATATATAACATGGAAAAAGTTGATTACGAAATACCCCTACTGGATCTAGCGCTTATTCTAGCTTTGTCGGCCAGTTTTCTAAAGGGCTAAGATTATGTGTGGTGAATAGCCAGCTACCTACGAATGGATTGCTCTCCACCTTATCTGTATCAGCATAGAAACTGCCATACTCACATGTGCTGAAATGTGAGAACAAATGTCCTGCAGAATCATGTTAAGTTCTTCACTAGGCCAGTTCCATCTGCTTTCTTCTATGACAAGCCAAACTCCACTGTAATAAAACTCTAACTCCACAAAACAATTCTTGGTTTCTGGCCAAAATGGAGAAGCAAGGACCAAATTTAACCTCCTGTCTGAAACAAGAAAACTGGACAGAATCTATGATTCGACAGTGAAAATATTAGGCAATGGGCTGTGAAGAACCATCCTTGGTAAATGAGGTAATTACTAAAATAAACACTGAAGGCTGGAGAGATAGCTCAGGGGTTAAGAGCACTGGCAGTTCTTGCAGAGGACCTGGGTTCAATTCCCAGCACCCACATGGTGGCTAACAACTGTCCATAACTGACTGATAAAACTTCCCCTGATTGTGGACAACTGGAATGTTGCATATCCAGAGCAGTTATCTTGGACTGTCTTTAACTCCCTCAATATCCATTCATTGCCCACCTCTGTGGCTGACTTAACATTCATCCTTGTGACTAATTAGGTAAGTCCTTTCAAAATGTACAAACAGACCCCAGCTTCCATAAACCCAAAGGCTAAGAATGTCATCAGAAAACATTTCAGACCTACAGCAGAAATTTCTCTGCTTTCTGTAATCTGTTTATCTCGTGTTCTACCAATGTATTTTAAAAATACCTTAATTTTTGACTTTCTTTGTTCTGTTACTGTAAAAACTTCATAAAACTGTTACCATATTGGAACATTGTATTTGGGTCCTATATCTGTGTTCCCAGGCCACGGTCACTCATATTTGGCTCCAGAATGAGCTATCTCTTATTCGCGGTGCTATGAGGTAACACCTGTATTTTTCCATCAACAAATTCACTCTCAGAATTACGTGAAGCCATTGAGCATTTTAAAGCAGGGGACAGCTTGAAGTTGGAGAAGATCACTCTGGCTGAAAGGGGGGAAACTTGGGGACACTAGAGATTTAGAAGAGCTAAACCTGAAGCCAACAATTTCTACTGGGCAACAAAAACTTCCAGGGGTCAAGAAGAAATATGAGCTGGGTGTGGTGGTACACACCTAAAATCTTTCACTCAGGAGGATGAGGTAGGAGGATCTGAGAGTTCGAGGCCAGTCTAGGCTGCAAAATGAGATGCTGTTTCCATTTGATCATAGCCCAAAAGCCAGGAAGTGATACAAGGATGGGGAGAGAGAGAGAGAGAGAGAGAGAGAGAGAGAGAGAGAGAGAGAATCCCGTGTGTTATTTGAAAGTGCCTTGCATAAGGCAGTTCTGGGAGAAACAGCTGTGATTTTTGAGAAGTGGCAGTTTGTGAGCTCTGCAGAATCTTGGCCCTAGTCTCAACCAGCTGAGTATGTATCAGCACCGTATCAAGCAACTCTTGTCCAGGAGTGGTGTGCACAGGTTGGAGAAGCCAGTTTCTACTTAACAGCCCCATCTTCCCATGCTCAGATGTGGCATCCTGTGCACACACAATGTGCACACCCTAAGAAAATGGGGGCCCTCTAGGGTGTGGCCACGAAACAAACAGCAGGTTTCTGTGGCTGTAAGGAAGGAAAGCAAAATGTTCTAAGTTCTTCTGCCATCTTGAAAAGGCTGCAACTAGAGTGCTTTCTTGGAGGCAAGCAATTCCTAGTAAT